TTTCTTGTGGTTTTCCCCTTTTGTTCTGATTCTTCTTTCACAATATGACTAATGTGGAAATATGTTTAATATGATTGTACATGTATAGCCTATGTCAGATTGCATGCCATCTTGGGGAGGGGGGAAGGAGGGTGGAATTTAGAACTCAAAATCTTATAAAAGTGAATGTTGAAAACTAAAAATAAATAAATTTTTAAAATATATTTCTTCTTTCTTACAGTACAATAATATTATATTACATTTATACCACACTTTGGTTATTTCCCAATTCATCAGGCATCTTTGTTGTTGAGTCATTTTTCAGTCATGTCTGACTCTTCATGACCCCATTTGGGGCTTTCTTGGCAAAGATACTGGAGTAGTTTACCATTTCCTTCTCCAGCTCATTTGAGGCAAACAGAGTTAAGTGACCTGCCTAGGATCACACAGCTAGTAAGTGTCTCAGGCTTGATTTGAACTCAGGAAGATGAGTCTTCCTAACTCCAGGCCTGGCACTCTACTCACTGTGACACCCACCTGCCTCATCAGCATCTATTTTGTTTCTATTTATTTGCTACCAGGAAAAGTGCTACTATTAATAATTTTGGCATTTGTGGAAACTTTCTTTTTGCTAATGACCTCCTTGGAGTATATGCCTCACAGTGACATCTCTGGGTCAAAGAGTATAAATTTTAGCTCTGTTATTTGCATAAATCCAAATTATTTTCTATAATAGTTGTACTAATTCACAGGTCCACCAGCAATGCATTAATAAACTTGTTTTTCCACAATTGCTCCAACATGAACTATACTCATCTTTGCCAATTTACTGGGTGGGAGGAAAATCAAAGTTGTTTGATTTGCATTTCTCTTATTAGTGTTTTGGAGCATTCTTTCACATGTTGTTAATAGTTTGCAATTCTTCTTTTGAGACCCATTTATGAATATCCTTTGATCACTTCTCTAATGAAAAATAGCTTTTGATCTTATATGTTTCTATTACTTATGTACACATCTTGAACATCAATACTTATTTAAGAAATTTGAGACAGAGGATTTTTCCTATTTTCCCTTTTTATCCTAGATGCATTATTTTTGCTTGTGGAAAAGCGTTTCAATTTCATGTAATCACAATTTCCTTTATCTTTTGTGATTGCCTCTGTCTCTTTAATTAAGATTTGTTCTATCAATCATTATGAAGGGTATTTGATCTGCTTCTATTGTAGTTTTTTAATAACATGATCTTTAATATTCAGGTGGTATATCCATTTCAAATTCATTGAGGAATATAGAATAAGATGTTAATCTAAGACTCATTTCTACCATACCGCTTTCTAGTTTTTCAGCAATTCTTATCAAATACAAAATCCTTTCCTAAATAATTTTGGGAGTTCTCACAGTTCTTTTTTTTGGGGGGGGAATTGGGGTTAAGTGACTTGCCCGGGGTCACACTGCTAATAAGTGTCAAGTATTTGGTCTGAGGCCAGATTTGAACTCACATCCTCCTGACTCCAGGGCCGGCACTCTATCCACTGCGCCACCTAGCTGCCCCTCTCACAGTTCTTATACAGCAATACTGCTCATAATTTTCCAATACATTGCATATAAACAAAAATAATTAAATAATTCAATCATTTCCTGGCCACTACTAAACCATACATCCTGCATTCTGGCTATTGTCCTCATATTATCCTCTCACCTGGTCCTTTGATTATGCCTCTGAAAGGACCCTAGGCTCTAATAGTTGACATTTCACATTATTTTGCCCAGAATCTGGCCTTCTTGTCTCTCTCAAAATGTGGACATTCATATATATATATATATATATCATATATATATATATATATCTTATATATGTATTGTCTTCTCCCCATTGAATATAAACTCTTTGAGAGCAAGAAATGCCTTTCTTTCTTGTATTTATGTTCCCAAGAAATTGCAGTGCCTGACACATTGTAAACACTTAATTAACTTCTTCATCGTTCATTCATTCATTCATTTACTTAATGTAATTGAATTTGATATACATCTATGTGACAGGAAATTCATAAATATACGTGCATCTAAGGAGAGTTGTATGGGTGGCCCTCGCTACTAATTGCTGTATATATTCCTATAAATTCAAACTCAGAATTGCATCTCTTTGTGAAGCTTCTTGGTTTCAGAGAGAAATCATCAGACCCAGAGGATTTATGTAGAGGATTTCAAATACCACAAACTAGGAACAAACCCCAATAAAACCCTCCTTCAAAAGAACCCAAACTAAAAGAGTTGGATTCAAGGGAACCTATCTAGCCACATAGACTAGTGTCCAAGAGAGCTGAATTATACATATGACTGAAAAGTATTTGGGACTTTTCATAGGAAAAACTTGCTCTCCCTAATACTTAACTCTTTAGCCCTCTGTCCTTTAAAACAATGAAGCGGAAACATCTCTGCTATCCCTGAACCCTAGTTGCATATTTGCTATGCCATTCATTTGAGAGATTCCATTGTTCCTTTCCCAGAACAATGATGTTCATTTTACCATATTAAATCTTATCCCATTTAATTTGGACCATTCTTCCAATTTGGCTAGATGACTTTGGATCCTGATACTGAGTGACAAAGTGTTCACAAGCCATTGTTATCTTCTTCAGAGGCTTAAAGTACTTCCTCCTTTCCCTTGCCCAAGTATTTTGCCAAGAGAGGTCAGAGCCAAATGCTGTAGGAAAGGTTAATAGTATTTGTTTCTGACACCTTCGTAATCATCATTAATATTTATGTAGCATTTTGAGTTTTGCAGGGTATTTTACAAATACCTCATCTTATCCTATAGCAACCCTGGAAACAAGTACTAATATAATTTTTCTTATTTTACAGATGAGGAAACTGAGGCACAGAGGACCTAAATGATTTGCTTAGGGTCACACAGCTGGTAAATATCTGAGACTAGATTTGAACTCAACTTCCAGACTCCAAGATCCATGCTCTATCATGCTATGCTACCTTCAGAGCCAGCTCTGGGTGAAATGGTAACATAGGCAGAGTAATTAATGTCTCTTGTCTCTCTTTTCCTTTACCCCTTTTCTTTCTATTAAGCACTTTACTGAATAACATCCTCTCCTCTCTTTGCCCCCAACTTCACCCCAGTGCTTTCATGCTGACTGAGTCACTCCTGTCTGAATACAGCATGATAGGGTTATTAAAACTCCACGTAAATTAGTTTGATGGCAATTTGCATATTAAAAGAGAACACAGTTTCATATATTTAGAGCCAGAAGGGATCTTAGAGATGATCTAGTCCAACCCCATCATTTTATCAAAGAGGAATTATGGGCCAGAGAGTTTAAATGGACATTATTCAGAAAAGGAGGTCCATAGGCTTAACCAGAGCAGAAAAGGAGTCTATGACCCCAAAAAGGTTTGAAGTACCCCAAACCACAGGTCTAAGTGAGTGAATGAGGAGCAGATGGTGCTGTCCTGGTGGTATTACATGCATCCCTTTACAAAGGCATTTCAGGGCTGCTAGAGAGATAGGGGAGAAGTAAATCACATTGGCTTAGGATTAGAGGATCAGAGCTAGAAGGGAACTGTTAGGCCAATCAGTTCAGCTACTTCATTTAATACAGGAGGTAACTGAGGCTCAGAGAAGTTAAACAAATTGCTGCAGGCTTGAAGTTTCAGAAGCAAAGTGAGGTCCTTGGGAGAAAGACATATAAGTCATTATTTAGAGAAACAGCATCCTAAAGAGTCAAAGTGGTTAACTAATACTCTAATTAGGTGCAGCTATTTCATAATAACTACATTTGATCAAACTGGACCTATAAATTCATTAATATAGAAAACTTCCAAGGAGGGAATTCCCTTTATTGATGCAGATCAGAACTTCCTCTGCAGCTCGTGGTTGTAGAGAATTACCTGGATCACTGAGAAGTTAAGTGACTTACCCAAGGTCTCACAGGCAGTACTGATCAGATTTTGGACTTGAGTAAGGTCTTCCTGACTCAGAGGCCAGTTCTTCTTTATCCTCTTACGATAATAAATGGAAAAAGAAATAAGCTTCCACATGCACAAAAATTTTTAATCATATTTTAAAAAATAAAAATATGAATGAGAATATTGAGCGTTCAATCTCTTCTGTCACCTATGAGCTTTTGAAGTTGTTCCTCCATTTCCCCTAATTGGGAACTGCAGATTACCTTGTAGAAGCTACCTAAGGTGAAATCATAGTGCCTTGGGGCAACAAGAAAGCCTCCAGAGGACTTGCCCTGTGATGTCAAACTGTTTTAGTGATGGAAACATCACAGTCATCAAAGATAATTCTCTGCCAGGGAGAGTTGTTAAACACTAGAAAAGGTTACCAAGGCATCTTGTGGCATCTTTTCCTCTGGAAGACTTTGAAAATGAGACAGATCCTGATCCATCTAGGCAGGTATAAGACTGGTACTGCCTGAAATTGGAGGAATAGATTAGTTGACCTCTCTGTCCTCTCTGATCCCACTATTTGTGTGGTTTGGTGGGAAGAACACTGGATTTAGAATCCAAGGAACTGGGTTCAAATCCCAGCTCTGCCTCTTACTACCTATATAATAAATATTTAAATTATCTTAGCCTCGATTTCCTCAGCTATAAAACAAAGTAGGTTTAAATCGTAAGACTTCTAAGATTCCTTTTGGCTCTAAATCTATGATCCCATTTTATGACTCTCTTCTCTCTCTTTGTGTCTCTGTAGATAAGCAGTGATAACAACAATAATAAAGTTCATTTCTTTAGCAATTTAAGATTGACAATGTTTTTTTCTCCTCATAACAACCCAGGGAGGTGTTGTTGTTTTTGAATCATTTCATGTGGTTTTCTTGCAAAGATACTAGAGTAGTTTGCCTTTTCCTTTTCTAACTCATTTTACAGACAAGGAAATGGAGGCAAACAAGATTAAGTGACTTGCCCAGGGTCACATAGCTTGTAAGTAGCTGGGGCCAGATTTGAACTCAGGAAGATGAGTCTTCCTGACACCAAGCCTGGCACTCTTTCCACCGCGCCTCCTAGCTGCCTTAATCCTGGGAGGTAGTCAGTGAAAATATCATTATCCCCATTTTACAGGTGAATAAGGAAACTGGGCTTCGACAAAGTGACCACAACGTATCTGCACTGTTGTGCTCAGTATCGGGTACCCGACATTTTAGGAAGAATATGGATATGCTGGAGGGCATCCAAAGGCAGGCAACTATGATGGTAAAAGGCCTTTGGATTATGTTATATGAAGATCAGTTAAAGGAAGTGGACAAGTTTAGCTCAGAGAAGAGATCGTTGTTGTTGCTCTTGCTGTTGTTGTTGTTGTTTGCTCTTCGTTCTCGAAGAAGACCTTGACATCAGGGAGGTGATGCCTTGACATGCAAGTGAATTGGATTTTAGTGTGGGTTGGCTGTGCTAAGTCACCAGCCTCACATTGTCTTCCAGAGCCCTCTGGCTCCAGGGGCAAGATATAGATCAGGATGACTGGAGATGGCCCTGGATGCAGTGGGAGACCTTAACCTTTTTAAGCCAAGGACCTTAACAGGTCTCAGTTTCACTGAGGCAACGCCCAATCAGTGATTAAGGCTAGGTAAGAAATGAGGCAGAGAATGGCCTCTTTGCCAGGAGAAGAAAAGACTTCAGGCAAACAGGATGACTATTTTCCAAGTGCTTGAAAACTGCCAGGGGAAAAAGAATTATATTTATTCTGCTTGGCTTTAAAGGAGAGATCTAGGAGTAATGGGTGGAAGTTGGAAAAAAAGGAGTTTTCATTTTGCTGTTGAAGGGAAGTTTTTGCCACTGATTCGAGCTGTCCAAAAGCAGATATGTTGTCTTGGGAGGCGGTCAACTCCTCTTCACTCAGCAAAGCCTGGCTGGCCACTTCTTGGGTATCCTGTAGAGGAGATGCTTGTTCAGGCAGGTAGGTTCAGGTTGGTCTAGGTGGTCTCTGAGAATGACAGTCAGAGTAACTCAGAATCTCAGAGTTGGAAGGATTATACTCTACTAAAGAATTTATATTCTGATGGAGGGACTATATGACATACAAGACAGCTAAAATGGGGTGGGGAAGGGTGGCTTATGGTTTCAAATGCCTGGGAAGTGACATCGTGGCCTGGTTCTAGGCAAGATAAGGTGTAGAATCACTTGTCAGATGACAAGGACCCAGGGGCAAAATCCAGGGGATCCTTGTGGGAGGGGATTGAGGAGGGTGGCCAAAGTAGAAGCAGCATAACCTTAAAATGGCCAGGAAATGGTGTGGAGACCTGCTGCTGGGCAAGATACAATAAACGGTTACTTTTAGAGCCCAGGGACCTGAGGGAGGGATCCAGGTTGCTCTTAGCACTGTTATTACAGAACTAATGTCCCATGATCCTTTCATACCTTCCCTGGTTTCCATCTTCTACACATGACTTTTCAAAAACATAATTTGGTTGAGGAATTCCATGTGCATCCATAGCAATGTCTTTAGACAACTCCTCCTACTCTTCTTTCTTATTGGAATTGTTTTGATTTGTGCCTTCAAAACCTCATTTTGGAGAGCATCCCATCCCTTCTCGAGCTGAACTCTCTTGGGTATAGTGAATTTATTATTTCCTCCCATCTACAAGGATCAAGAAAGACATTAGATTAGTTAGGTATAATATGCTTTTCAACCTACTAATACTGATTCCTCCATAGCATATAGTTATCTTCAAGGTATTCATTTACCCATTGGCTTTTTAAATGAACACCTCCTAAAGTGATGATAAAAATAAAATAAAAATAATAATTAATAACAATGTGTATTTTGTGGGTTTTACAAAGTAAGCTAACTAGCTATCCAAACATGGGAGTGGGGGTGGGGAGAGAGAACAGATGTTTAATTCTTTGCAAATCATTTTTGTTGGCTTAGTGAAAGTCTGGTGCTTATCTACAAAAATTCACTTATCTCTAATGAAAGCATTCTTCAGTCTAAGTCTCCAAACAACCTTTCTAGAATTCAGAAGGGAAAACATACATATTTCCTTTGGAAGCAAAAGTGAAAAACCAGAATTTAGTTCCAGTACTATGATAGGACTTTTATCTACTACACAAGGCATACTGTATTTTATCCTACATGCCTCCCTGGGCGCACCTTGAAATAAGGGCAAAACTGTCCAACATCCACTGCCACTTTACAGAAGCAGAAAACTTTAAGATAAAATGCCCCCAGGGATGGGGTGAGTTTTCTAGTTTTTGGAGAAGTCTCAAGCATGCCATAAATATCAAACAAAGCAGTAATGATGGCAGTGTCGCTAACATGAGTGGGTGAGATCAACCACAGAATGTTTTGACCAACACAAAGCCTAGCATTAGGAGGCTACTGTAAGTCTCCTTGAACATCTTATTTGGCCTTCAGCAGCATCAGATTTTCTGTCTCGGACATTTAATAGTGGTGTGACCCTTGACAAGTCACATAAACTCTTGGAGCCTCAGGTGATTTCCTAAGGCTAAATAAGAAGTTCTTAACCTAAAGTCTGTGAACATTATAATTGTTTTCCTTTGTAATTCTCTGTATTTTATTTTGTGCATTTAAAGAACATTGTTCTTAGAAAGGGTCTATAGGCTTCACCATGGCACAAAAAAGTGCTAAGAACTCAATGAACTAAACCATAAAAGGAAATCAGAGATCCTTGATGTACTGCCAGTTTTCTGATTGCAGGTGTTGTTTGTTCATTCTTTTATTTGTTTGTTGTCAAATCATTTCAGTCATGTCTGACTCTTTGTAACCCCATTTGGGGTTTTCCTGGTAAAGATACTGGAGTGGTTTGCCATTTCCTCCTCCAGCTCATTTTACAAATGAGGAAACTGAGGCAAACAGGGTTAAGTGACTTGCCCAGGGTCACTTAGTAAGTGTCTAAGGCCAGATTTGAACTTAGGAACATGAGTATTCCTGACTGCAGGCATAACACTAGCCCACTGTGCCACCTAGCTGCCTCATTGATTTATTTAGCAAATGCTTATGTAGAAAGACCACTAGCTAAGCTACAAAGTTTAGATAAGACAGAGCCCCTGCCCTCAAAGAATTTACAGTATAGTAGGAGGAAAAGACATTAAACACTGGTTATTGTAATATACATTACTGTATGATAACTATATACATAGTTTTTGTTTGACATGTGATTTCATTCGTATAGGAAACTTTCAGTGAGCAAATCCCTGTTACCAAATCAGACTAGCACATCCTCATCAGTTTATAGTCTTAGAAAGTTGCCTGGGGCCACTGAGAGATTTGGTGACTCTCTCTAGGTCACATGGCCAGCATGTGTCAGATCCTGGGCTTGTGCCCAGGTCTTCCTGACTCCGTAGCCAACTCTCTATCCACTACCTCATGCTACATCTCAACAAATGCATTAGTAAGGCACAAAACACCTATTTCCTATTTCTCTGTGCCCTAGCCAACCTATTCTGTGAATCTATAAATAAATGCTTTAATTTCTCTTGAATATATTAAAATCACTAGCTTCTACTAATTTGGTAGACTGTCTCTTGTCCTAATAACTCATTATTAGTAAATTTGGAACTAGGGTGGGGCTACCAAGGCTTTGTCTCCAAAGGGACCAAAAATTTTAATGTGATAATGGCAGGTAAACTCATTTTTAGCAGCTAGAAACAACTGAGCTTAGTTCTAATTAGCAAGAATAATTAATTAAAATAGGAAGCTACTAGCTACTGGCACTACCCTTCCCACTCCCAGGACTATACCCCAGGTGAGTTTCTCTCTGGCAGTAATCTACCCTGCTCCCTCCCACCTCAAGCAGCCTTGAGATGTTCTGGGGTCTCTATTCCTCTGTGTGCATTTGTCTTTAAAAGATGATTTGACACATTCCATAGGGTTTGAATCTAGCACAATATGTCATGTTTGCCGTAGGCACCAATGTTTCAATTGTGGCTCTTTGGTCAGAAAAAGATCTTCCTGATAAAGCAAGGGTTTTAAAACGTTTTGTGTCATGGGCCTTTTCTCAGAATAATATTCTTTAATGAATAAAATAAAATACATAGGATTACAGAAGAAGACCAATTATAGTGAAATACAGTTAGCAAAAAGAAGGAAAAAATTAAGTTCATGAATTCCAGGTTAAGAACACCTGTGCCAGACAGAACAAAGGCCTGGTGATTAAAAATTATTATGTGCTGCTAGGTCAGTCAGCTTCTGAAGATGACTTTTGAGTTCACCAAAGTTTACAGAAGAGAGACAGAGAGAAAGAGACAGAGAGACAGAAACAGAGAGAGACAGAGACAAAAGGGAGAAGGAAAGAAGAGAGATAGGGACAGACAGTGAGGGAAAGACAGAAACAGTGAGAAACAGTGATAGAGAGACAGACACAGAATCAGAGACAATAGAGATAGAGAGCTGGAGAGACAAAGAGGGAGAGAAAAAGAGAAAGACAGAGAGAAGCACTAAGGGAGGGGGAGAGCGACAGACACAAGCAGAGACAGAGAAGAGAGACAAAGGGAAATAAAAGACAGGCAGGGAGGGAGGGAGGGAGAGAGAGAGAGAGAGAGAGAGAGAGAGAGAGAGAGAGAGAGAGAGAGAGAGAGAGAGAGAATGAGAACACCGGCCAGTGCCTAATTATAATTCAAGTGCACCAGCAATTTAATAAAAACAACTCCTCCAGAATGTAGCCATAAGGAAAGAGTTTCCACAATCTGTTCAGCTGCATAATTAGTGATTGAGGACCTGGGAACAGTTGGAACATTGCTGGGGAAAGCCCAGGTCACATTATTGATAACATAAATAACAAAGATACAGATTTCCCCAAACTACAAACATCAGAATGTAACTAACAACAACCCTAATTGGAGCACAGAAAACAAACAGAAAGAAGATAAACTTTGTAGCCAGGAAGGCCAGGAGACTGTAGTGAGGAACATTGTTCACTGGCCCACAAGGCCTTCATATCTAACTTTCTAAGAGTCAAAAAATTAGAGATGACGAGCCACAATATTGTAAAAACCTGTGCTTTAGAGTTTTGGACAAGGATACAAAACCATCTAGCCAAATTTGTAGAAGAAGCTAAATCTGATGAAAGAAGGTTTAATAAAGACTAATGTACAGAACTGCACTTAGAAAGGAACATTATATCTCTAAGATGAATGATCTAGCCAAGATGCTACTGGGATGCAAGGCTCGCAGCAAGGCTGCTAGGTCATGGTTTTCAAAGAGAAAAATGACTAAAGAATTAAGGTATCCAAGCTATCCTCATGTAACATTCTGAGAAGCCCTAAATAATTGGAATTACATAGTCAATTCAACCGTCTTAGGGGCTGGATCATGCTGATGAATGATAGAGGTACAGTCTGGTGTAATACAAATAACACTGTTTAGATTGAAAAGCTCTGACAAGTTCTGGTTGTATGACCTTAGGCAAGACATTTAATGTCTGGGTCCTCACTTGTAAAGTGAGGGAGAAGTGATAGATGCTTTCTAAGATCCCTCTCTTCCCTAAATTTATGAACCTATGACCACTTGAAGCCTTGCAAATTATCTCATTCCAGTCTCAGTTCTTTTGACAGAAGATGGTTTGTTGTCTTGATCAGATTCACACCAATTCAATTCAATTGAACAAATATTTATTAAATTCCTTCTCTGCACAAGGCACCATGCTAGGTACTGGGAATTCAAAGACAACCATTTAATAATTCCTGTCTACAACAATCTTACATTCTACTTGGGGTCAAGGTTCAAGGGAAAGGGTATGACATGTACACAAATAAATAAGTGTAAAGGATACTCAACGTACTCTCAACAGGGAGCCAGCACCAACTGGTAAGGTATCGAGAAAAGCTCTGTGTAAGAGGTAGCACCTGAGCTGACTCTTTTGAACAGAATCCAAGGATTCTGTGAGGTGGAAGAAGGAGGGCATTCCAGATGTGAGGCCCCATTTGTGCAAAAACAGAGGGGCAAGAGAGGGAATGTGATGTACAGAGAATGACCTCTATGTGGAGCATTATAGACAGATGATTATAGAAGAATAAGAATATTACCCCACAGTAATGAGAGCCAGTAAAGGATAGATGAATTTGACAAATTTGTAATAGACTCACTTTATAGGCTTGTATGACTTCTTCTAGCAATATTTAGCAATCAAGTGGATTGGCTGTTGTCCATTCCCAAAGAGAACAAAAATGGCATCACTATTTTAGAGTCTAGTTACAGTATGTCCAACTGTGGCTCATCAGAGCAATCAAGTGGAGAAGGTGGTAATCCAGGAATGGGATATGACAAGTCTTGAGTGATGGTATAACAAGAGGGCAAGAAATTTAAAAGTAGAGGACAATGTATTGTTGGACTGGTTAACTATAAGGATCTTGAGCTGAATAAAATAAGCCCCTTGGCCCAGATGAACTAAAGAGATGAAATTATGTTTGATGGAAGGAAAAATATTTTCTAACAATTTGAAGTAACCAAAAGTAGGATGGGCCACCTTAGGAGGTAAAGACTTCATTAGAAGATGTTAAGCAAAAGTGAGGAAGACAATTTGTCAGATTGGCATTTGAAGAAATTCTGATCCCTTTCAATGCTGAAATTCTGTGATGTTATTCATTATTTCCTAGAGAATAAATATGATTACTGAGCCA